ACAAACACTGACAGTGATCAGAGGAAAATGTCTGATGTGTTTGATTAATCGGACGAGTGTCATAATTCATAATAATCTGTGTACGGTTCACTCTTGATCATTATATGAACATCAGAATAAAAGCAGCTGTTGATTGTGTCTCATCAGCTCCTGTGATTCTGGATCCAAACACTGCAGATCCATATCTCGTTCTGTCTGATAATCTGACCAGTGTGAGATACAGCGGGAACAATCAATTTCCTGTGTTCTGGGTTCGAAGGGTCTTAACTCAGGAACACACTGCTGGGATGTGGAGGTTAAAGAGAGTTTAGGGTGGACACTTGGAGTAACTACAGCATCAAACCAGAGGAAGGGACTTGTTTTCTTTAACACTGATGTCTGGAGTGTGCAGTACAGATGGTCTGATCGGTTTGGTTTTCATGTTAAACAGAAGCTTGAGCCTGTGAGAGTTGATCTGGACTATGACAGAGGAACGGTGTCATTCTCTGATCCTGTAACTAACACACATCTACACACTTTCACAACCACCTTCACTCACACACTCTTTCCTTTCTTCTGTAATTATAGTAGTTACTCTCTGAGGATCTTAGCGTTCAATAGTCAGTAAATGTTACACCTGTAGCTCTGGATCGACCTGCTTTCATCTTTTACACTCATGTTTCCAATATACAATCTATATCACAATTTCAAAATTAGTTCAACATGAGACTAAGTGAATAATTGTTTATTTCAGTTAAAGAGGTTAAATGATCAATTTGATAAATTTGTTCATTGAGGCAAATCAGGGAAGGGTAACTAGCGGCCCGCAGTGTTTTTAAGTTAGGCCCCTAAATAAAAACTCTGAAATGATACAAGAAAGTCTTAATTATGATTTCAAGAGGTGTTTCTGTTCAGTCAAGTCTCTTATTTATGTCCGTTTAGTTTCTGTATGCAGCTGCATCGCCCTCTGCTGGACAGAACACATTCACCAAGAGAGTGTTTATAAAGACAATCATTAATATCATATTCAGC